TCTTTAATCATACCATCTAATTTTCTATGCATCTGCACTAATATATATGATGAAATCAAGAGAATCCTCAGTGGTTGTGTAGCTGTCACAATACGTGTATGCTCATTATTATACAACAGAGTTATGGGGGATTCCCACTCGATATATCGAAATCATTTCTACTTGCGCAGTGTGCATCTTCGTTTTTTGTTTCATGCATTTGCGCCGATTCAGATATCTAGGAACGTCTCTTCAACTGGAGAATTTTCTTATACCATGATTGCAGTTTGCGTTTCGTTACAATTATATCCTCAGTGATAATTGCCGTTAGTGAGTGTTATTTTATCGATCATATTTTCGATACCATGCAGTTTTTCATATCAGAAAATTAGTAAATCATTTAGATTGAACTTTCTCTTTTCAAACAGATGGTAATTTTTTTGACTGAGCGGAATAGACTTCATTGTTGTGTGGAACGAACTCAGTTTACAAGAATGTAAAGGTAACGCGTAAGACTGAAAAACATCTCAGTCATAAGTGTTCAGACCTGTGAAACCTGAATCTTGGAGATCACTACTACTCAATACATGTATAACAGGAGATGAAGAATGGATGCTGATGACTAAGGAATCCATTTGCCTGGATTACGCAGCGAAATTGCACATGAAGAGGGAACAAAAAGGGGTACAGATACTGGTACACTTGCAACTTAATTGCAGAATAATAAGTAAACGATAAAGAAAGCAGGTTCTTGTATAAATATTCAATAAAAAAGGTTCAACGCCAAAACACTTATAATTATTTCTATGCTAGATTGAGCTGGATAGAAAGTATGAAATGTAAATTGAAACTCACATACAACAATTATCACTGAGGATATAATTGTAACGAAACGCAAACTGCAGTCATGGTATAAGAAAATTCTCCAGTTGAAGAAACGTTCCTAGATATCTGAATCGGCGCAAATGCATGAAACAAAAACGAAGATGCACACTGCGCAAGTAGAAATGATTTCGATATATCGAGTGGGAATCCCCCATAACTCTGTTGTATAATAATGAGCATACACGTATTGTGACAGCTACACAACCACTGAGGATTCTCTTGATTTCATCATATATATTAGTGCAGATGCATAGAAAATTAGATGGTATGATTAAAGAGGATAAATTGTGAATGTCACTGTCACTCACACATCCATGAAAACCAGGCAATTTCTATCGTCATCCCTATTTGAAGCGATGGACTACCAGCATATCATCAACAGTATTGGTCAATTGAGATGAACTCCCACTTTGTTGATAACCATACCAATGCTATATGTATGTGATCCAGGAAAATTCGAGAATAAGTGTTCTGTTCGATTTGGTGGTCAGAAAGGCCGAGAACCTATCGGAGTTAATTTCTCTGTGCAAAAGCGTATATGCCTGTGAATCAAAGTTCAATCTCTCCTGTTGAATAAACAATAACAAAAACTAATGTTAATGAAGATAATGTAGCTTGAAAAAATGGACTGTTTGAAAGCGTGGTGAAATTGAGGTAAGTATTGAACTGCATGAAATTGTTTGAATACAGAAGCTAAACGAGTCAGATATGACAGTTCAGTGGAACTAATGTCATCATGTGAATACATCAGAATACATTTGTCACTGATATATGGATGGTAACTATTGAACTATTGGGGTGAAGCAAGCAGTGCTCAGTTACTTCACCCCACGTTGATACTACTCATGTAAGCACGTATGACTTCAGTGGGGACTGAATTCCAAGAGAAAAGGGAGTAAGTATTTTATTGAAACTGCATTGCTAAACTCATAGCTAACTTTGATGTTTAGATCAAAATGAAGAGATGCGTGTTTTCTGAATTTTATAGTGAATACATGGAAAGATCTGTGCAATCGTTGATTTGAGAAATTTTTCCTCACTTTTCTTCTTAGTCAGAGTAAGAATCACACTGCGAGCGTTTAAGAGATTTTTGAAGTAACAGATGGTACTGTGTTTGTCTGAATGTCTTATTAGTACAAAATTTCGTTTCCATTTTCATTTATCAGGGAGGAAGATTTTATTTGAAACTTCACCTAATGCATGTTGGCATATTTGCTAAGTTTCGCGTGACGACTGCATTTCTATATTATCTATGATTATGTTTAGTATCTGTGATAACATGAAGAAATATTTCACGTCGGTATTGAGTGTTATCTCGTGTACCTCGCCCCGTAAGGCTTTCTTATTATGGATTTGCAATTAGTTGAAATGAAATCTGATTTTCAAATTTGGAACAGTTTGAATCGGACAACATTTTTTCAGTAAACTTTCAGGTCACCTAAGCATATAAATCGTTCCTTATTTCTCCTCAGCCTCAGCCGCTCATTTTTTATAATCCTCTGATGCTTTCGCTTGAGTAAATGTGTTTTTCATGACATTCCACGTTCATCCGTCGTCCAAACTATCTGATGAAATCCTATTCCTTGTCTGAGGAATTTATTCTCAAAGTCTCTCAACTGCATGGTTGCGTATTCTGTAAATTTATGGTGTTCTCCTGTATATTGTTAATTTTTTTTCCAATAAGAATATTGTCTTCGTATTCACTAAGTTGCCTTGCGGTTCCTCGTTACCTTTTTACTGATTAAGCTTATGTGTTTTACACCTCTTGTCTCGTAAATGTACTCTAATTCATCATACTGAATTTTAGATTATTTTTTCTCTTTTTGCTTGCAATTCAAGTGTAAAAGTTTACGATGACCCACTTCTCCTTAATCATCATTGTTATTTCTCACTAAATGTGATTCTATTTGTTACTAACTAGTTATAGTCATTGAACATTTTCTGCAACGATAAGCGTTTACACATATAAAGCTCTAATAACTGCACGGCTTTGGAGTCATGTTTGGAATCACATCACATCAAGTAGTAGTGAAATTTCTCATAACTTGTTGTATTACGATTTTGTTTCTTGAAACTGTTCAAAATCACTGAACTATTTCCCTTAAACATCACTTTGTGCAATATTCTCTTGACCGGAAGATATCATTTTTTTACGAACAATCTAGCATAGTAAGGGATACGAAAGTACTTCAGAACCAATGAAGCAACTGGCGATTTAGTTAAATCCACTGTCTGCAAATTAAACCTGTGATTGACAGCTCACTCAGTCTGATGTGGAATTTCACCACAATTCTGTTTGGAAACTAGATTTATCTAGTAACAGCTTGTGATCTGGTAAACGGCTGTATGAAATTTCATTTACAAGACGTCTATGATATCTACTATACTCAACTGCACCTATGTTACTGTTTCCCACCTCTGAAGTCATTGCCTCAAACACTTAATTACTACTTTGCATAGTAGTTTGATCAACTGACAATAAATTCTGTTTCTCGCTATCAGGCGTCTTTTAGCCATAAAACTGATGGCTTTATTTCGGTAAATCCCGTTCATTCTCTACTGTGTTTTTCTAATCCATTCGTACAGTTGTTCTCTCATCTTACCACTTATTTTCATCGAAAACAGTTGATGGAACTTAATCATTTATTTTATCTCCCATTTTGAGAGTATGTTATGCATGTGAATTGTGTATTTTCTAAATATGTGGTTGAATAAATGCTGCTGCGTACTAATATATGTGTAAAACGTGATCATTGTTAAAGTATATAATTCTATATCAATTTGTTTATTATATTTATACTGCAGGGAAACAGTATTATTCACTGATTGACGTTTTGATTCGATTAATTGAACCTTCTAAGATAAGAAATATGGAGAACAGTTCAGCCGTAGAAAGCACTATATGCAATTGCACACAACCATTTAATAGGTTGGGATAAGACGAGAGTTTCATAGTCTAGTGTAACAGAGTGGAGGGAAAGATTGATAACGGAAGCTTTGTTTATCGAATCAACTGCAAAGACGCGGAAAACACACATATTGAGATTAGAAAGACGAGAACACGAAGTTCAGCAAAGATATCCTTCCGGTGATTTCATTTTCAAAAGCTTTACAATCGCATTTAAATACATAATTTTACATGGATACAACTCTTACTTGATTCCACATAATTATGATGGCGGATCACATTTAAAGATTCATGATGTTGACATGCATAATATAAGTGAGTCAGTAAGTTCAGGTGAGTCAGATTTCATAGTGTCATCTACTCACTATATCATAGTTTTTTGAAACAGCCTTTCTAACTTCCATCATGCTCTACTTCTTGTAAATAACTGGCTTCTCACTCTATTTCCCTCAGTATATTAGTGATGACTTCACAGTGGTATTATTGCTATTTCATCACTTGATAATCAATCAGTAATTGTCAAATGACTGCCTTTTCACGAAACTGGCTTAGAATGCACAACAATAAAGTGATAACTCCCTCATTAGTCATATTAATCAGTCAAAACTATCAATTCAATGCTAACACGTGATTGTTCTTGTCAAGAAGATGTGGAAGATATCACATAACTGAGTAAAATACCTCACTACGGAATGATTACAACACGGTGTTCATCACAGATGCTGGCTTAATTCATGCGGAGTATGTCATAGCATTGAATGGTGACAACTAATGGCAGCCACAAAGATTACTCAAAGTCAGAAGAATGATTATTTGAGGGAGTATTGATGTCCATACGGAGAATACAAAACCGTGTTGATTATAGTAAAACAGAATCTAATCTGCACTAGTAAAATAGCCACTATTTACGGTAAATAAACTCATAAAATTCTTAATAGCATGTGCAACTTGTGAAGCCGTACAAAATGAGTGTAAAGCAATCTGAGTTAACCTAAACGAACTGATGCGTTGACGTTAGAGAATTAAATTATGAACTTTGATATTGAATACAGAGTTACAAATAAAAACAAATTTGTAAACAATCGAATTCTAATATACACCACTGTAAACATCAGGTAGATGGAGTCAGATGTACTAAAGTCCAAATAATGTTAACATTTTATTATCATCAATGGGTGAATTATTTTCGCAATCATTCCATCAATACTGCGAATGTACTAATCATCGACATTGTCCGATCCTGTTTCTTCTCTCTGTTTTCATCTTGTTCAGTGAATGATATTGTCGTTCAAAGGCAGTTGTGATGAGTGTCAAATGTTTGCTTATATTCAATTCCTGTGTAGGTGATAACTTTAGTGACAGTTCACTCCAGGTTCTTCTAGAGGACCACAAAATAAACCTTTTGATTATAGTAAATCATGTCGAAAGTGACACCAGCGAACCTGTATAATACACAATTTCTCTGTATATAAATACGTTGATACAGAAATAAGGAAGCTGGCAATTACACATGAGAATAACACTCATTTTAACTGCAAAGGATTTATAGTACAGCTTTAACCAAATTAATGAGTACTGTTTGTCACATAAAATGGTTAACCAACATATTGTGGCTCAAACATCAATTTTCATCAAAAGACGACTTTAGGTGTAGAATGACTGGAAGTCTGGCAGACATCAGTAGATGCTCTATTTCTAATTTATAAAAAACCATCATTGAATGTATCTGGTACCATTCAGCAATGGGGATATTCTGTGATCATAGTGAACACACCGGCATTTATTCATCACAGTACTTATGTATACAATTGAATATTCTCAGTCCACCTGATTGCGAAATATCCATTTGCTACCACTGCAGGCTTTTCATGGAATACAGTAATCAACACTATCTCGTTCAGTTTATCTCTTGTTGAATCTCATGCATGAGACTGAAAGTCGCGATGTTTTCAGTAGATAATAATCATATGGGAATCATATTGGAATACAATTTTTTTTATATTTTTATATTTTTTTTATATTTTTTTTATATTTTTGATTTACAGCTTGATTCCACACTGTATTGTTTGATACAAGTATGGAATTTTCAGCGTGGATATCGGTAGCCCAAATTTTGCAGGCCGACCATAGATATCAGATGTGCGTCGGTGCGGGCTCGAACCCAGGACCATGTGCATGGTCGACGAGAGTCCTAACCACTGTGCCACCGACGATGGCTAATAAGAAAGCAGATGACATCGAAAGAAGCATCCTTTGTATCAAAACTTTTTACAGGTATTTAGGCTAGTTTATTTAGACTAAGAAAATAAAAGCACAATATATTGGCCAAGATTGCCGACGACTGCAATCTCGCAGACCTGCTTTACCTTAATTTTATGAGACACATGCATGCATCTTTGATTAGTCCTGTCGCTATCGGGAACACAACTAAATTGCTCATATAAAAAACCCTTCAGGAAACTAAATTGTCTGACACAATAACGTGTCTACTCTATCAACTAGAAGTAGTATAAACCATTCGACTACATAAAAACATGGTAAACTTCAGCTAGGCAAGTGTAGGGAGATGATTACCTAACAAAGCCCCACAGCATTAAAAATATAAAAATACAACGTTCGAAATGACTGCATCTCATAGGCAGATGTTGTATTGTATATTTTTTGAGTTCAACGTTCAAATAAATAAACAAACAGGTAAACACCAGTGGGACCACTTATATCACAAATAATTGTGACTTTACTTCTTCGCTTCTCATATGTGTTTGTTTTCAAATTCGACTGTATCACGTTTATTTACTTTTGTGGTTCCTTATTTGGTATCAAAGTTCATGTTTACATTTATCAACAACAATGCCTTTTCTCATATAAATTAACTCAGACTGTTTTCCAACCATTTTTTGCCGACAACACGGATTACTACTTTTATTCTCGAGCTTCAATGAGGTACCTACATTTAGCAATGATGAGTCCATCAGGAGAGAGTAGGTTTATTGTCCTTTTGGTTGAAATAATCTTGTGTTTTATATGTCTGCATTCAGGTATACGTTTCGAAAACTATTCTGGTATGTTCTATTCACTGGTACTTTAAATGCCTAAATGACACTATTCCTTATGAAATCGTACACTTCCTAGATGAATGTCATGTATGCTATTAACCAGGCATATAAGAAAACAACCTCGTCACACTCTTTGACATTTTTTTCCATGGACAAGTCTTCCATTATGATATATTGCAGTTTAAGCTAGTTTTCTCTGAATAAAACACTTGGAAATGTGATTATTAGATATTCACGTAAAGGTGGCCATTTAAAATACATCAAAAAGTTTCACTGAGCAAGTGTCACACAAAATATCTAGAGAAATAGAACGAGTATGAAATACCTCTTTGAGACCACAGAATGATGACAGTTGATAAGTGTATTTCAAGGATATGTGATTAAGAGTATGGTAAATAATATGCTGGTCGAGCAAGCTGATTATTTCTGAATGAAGATACTGAATGCTGCTATGAGTGCGAATAATAAGTTAACATAAAGAGTAACAAGACAAGTATATTTCTCACTGTCTTGGGGCTGTGAAGAAATATATGAAGTTAAGGCATTCTAACCACAGATATCTGCATTCAACCTAATTTGTTTAGTGGCACAGAATGTCAGGTGGTGATGTAATTAATTGTATACTTCTACGTAAATAGTCAGACTGCTATGACAGCGAGATATGAAGAATGAAATGAACAGAATCCTATTCACTGAAAGCAACTCTTATGTCAGAGGATCACTCACAGGTTCTCAAAACCTCAGTGTTTGAAAGGATAGTTTGTGGAATGATGTGACTATGCGACTTGCTAATGCACACTCCGAACTAATAAAACTCCTCTTGAATCAAATACACATTAAATTCTATTCCTGCTTTCTTTTCCTATTTCCTCATGGATCACTTGAAAATGTCGTCCTGATATTCACCTTTTTATCTGAACCGACTTTTGATTCTACGTTCAGTGAAATCACAAAGTAACACAAAGGTATGTTTCGAAATGTTACTAAACATGCGTAAATTAAACCAGTCTGTATCCCCACTGTCTTTGGTTCAGCAACGGAGCAAGCAATTCATTTGGAAGGTATCTGATATATTTTGATCCCTGTTCACTTATATTGTCGTTTTTCGAAGACTATAATCACAGTAGCGGTACAGATTGTAATTTTATGGGTAATATGCTCTGTCGCCTTACCTGTGTAAGTTATACATTGTCGATTAACCTTCATAATGATGTTTATTCAAGTGAAGCACTTAAAGACTGGATGAAGAACAATCCCTGGTTTTCCTGGCTATTTGGGTTCGTGTAACATTTTTAATTTATTCCCTTCCAATACATTATCGAATTAATTATGCATCTCATAGCCAATCACACTGTTAACAAAACTTTATCTCGGATGAGACAGTGTATAAGTCTTTAACAACTTCCGAGCTGAGACTTACAAGATGCTCGCATGAGAAGAACGTCGTCATCAGCATCGACAGCATCTTCCAATCAGCTTGTTTTTTGTTTATATCATTCTACTGCAGCTCATTATTCTGCTTCAGTGGTCTCCGTTAGCTTATCAGATCATTCCCTATCTGTTTAGATGATTCAATCAAGGGACTAATTAATTAACATGATCCTCATGATCCAGTGGTCATATTTGATCAAGTCAATCATAAGTCATTTGAATTTCTGCTATGAAGTATTGAAATGTTAATAATTTTATTTTCCTGTGTTTCTTTTAATACAGATTTCTTGGAACACTTCTTCAACTCGAGATGTTCCTTATACCGCAATTTCAGTTTGCATTCCCATACAATTATATCGTCTTGATAATCGCTGTAAGTAAAATGCACTTAGCTATTCATATTATCAAATCAACCCATTGTGTGACTGCATAAATTTCAATACTATTTTATGCCTGATTTTACCAATATCTGATATAATTTGATGGTGTAACAGCAATGAATAGAACATGGAGTAATTCATCAAGAACACATATTCCACTTCGGTGAACAACGAACAACACCTAATTGGTTTGGGGCTGAGATACTCATATCTCATAGGAACACATTATCAGTCTGCAAGCGTACAGTACTGGGTAAAATACAATAATTTTTGATTGTTTGATGTGCAAGAGTTTAACAGACCTCACAAATTCGTCAATCAGCGATACACCCATTGGCTGAATACACTTCCCGAGATCTTTCCAACTTAAATGTTGATTGAATTCGCGGTAATGTAAGAGTAAAATCTGTGTCGTATTGCTTAGGGCATACTCTCGTCTAGAGCCTACCGAAGGATTCACAGTGCAACATAAATTTAACAAACTCATTATGGCCTTACAGTATGAAATACTGCTAGACGATTGGTGGTGGAAACGTCTGCCGCTGGTGCAATAATAATCCACAGATGAACGTTCATGTCTTTCTATCAGTCATCACATCAGTTCAAAATGTACGTTTGATTTCCATGAATGTATTAAATACATATTTGTGCATTCTTCCTACTTTTTGTACTGTTTCTTCCATTTCCCTCTGCAGACAATATTGATTGGGTTTCCCGCAGCTCTACCACTGATCACTGTAGCCTTCTGGTGGACATTTGTCACATGGATAACTACCATGATTATTACAGCGGTTGTTGTGACTGCCAGTGTGTTTTTAAGATTAGATATACTTAAAAGTTTTGTGAGGCTGATAATTACGACATTCACCATGGAATTACTTTATTGTCTTATATTCTTCCCATTCATCCATTTCAATCTATATGATGTAAGTAATCAGATAAACTACAATTTCTTTTTAATAAAAATTAACTAGCATTAAGTACGTTATGTGGTCAGCTTTACTGACGATTATTTGCTTCGCTGAGTGTCCCATTATGAAATAATCACTGAATGCGTAACGAAACAAGTAGTTCAAAAAGCACAATTTTCTACACCTGTCAGTCGAGTAACATTTCAGAATATCTACAAATCTTTATTGGTCTACTGAAATGCATTTCATTTCACAGAGGAACATTCTGCTGGACCCAGGTGTTGTTATAGACAGACATGCGCGTGAATGAGTGTTTTAATCTTGGTTTGCTCACGAAATGTTGCACAAATTGGATTAATCTGTCTGACTCATAATTCACCTCCTACTGGACGAGTTACATTACTGTCGCCTCACTTTATAGTGAAAGAGGTTGAATCTCTACAAAGCGATGATGACGTTTCACAGAAATTTATTACCATTAGGGGTTCATGGGTGAAATTTCTAGAATTCTTAGTTTTAATTGATCACATCTGAAGTGAAATATTTGGCTTCAGCGGGAAACGCACACATTTCTTATTGCCAATATATTGAAATGTCTTCATTATTTCACCTCTCTGTCCACATTATCTCCTCTGTTTTTCTCTGAGAAGCCTTACCCAATTTCTGTTCCTCTTGTCTGATGTCATCTCATTGCCCCCTCGGTGAACGTCCAATCCATTTCCCCTTGAATTTTGGTTATATGGTAAGTTATTGCACGTCTCGCTGATCGTAGAAGTCTTTTCCGTTAGAATAACGACGACACTACCAGTGATGACTACATCAAGTTGAAATGATGCTATTTATGTCAGCTATGAGAATGAGTGAACTGCATTTAGCTATGTGTGGTAAATCTTATTGTTGGTCATTTTCATCACTGGGATCATTAGGATAATAATTCCGTATATATATATATATCTTGTTCCAATGAGAGTGATATTACTCATGTACACATGGAATGAGGAAGGTGGGTGTGCTCCGATTGTAAATCCTTCTAGTGATATGCTTGTAAAGTGTATTAGAAGACAGGAAATTTTGAGCATTGTTCACAGAGCGGAGAGATGGAGACACAAATGTGTAATTGTTTCATCTGTATCTAATCAATTGTGAACTTACCTCTCCTTGTAACGAAGTGATATCTGCAGTTGTTTTAAAGATGGATTACTGATTAAGATTTAGTCTATTAAACCGTGTTATCAATTTAGCCCATGAAATACATCAGTGTAAATGGCACTAAGTCAAAAATCGGGTTTCCTGCTTATTCGAAATATGAGGTCAGGAAATAACTAGTTGACGCTAAGTGTCTTCTGAAATGTTTCACAGAGTAAACAAATTAAAATTCTATATTTTTGTAACTTGAACTGAATCACTGATTTCATTTCTCATTCTCTTCACAGATACTCATTATGCTGTGTGGATTTGGTATGATGATCACCATTATTTGGGTAGGTTTATCAATCGATAATTTGTGTGTGTTTCGGTGGCACAGTGGTTAGGACTCTCGCCGACCATGCACATGGTCCGGGGTTCAAGCCCACGCCGACGCACACCTGATATCTATGATTGGCCTGCGAATTTTGGGCTACCGATATCCACGCTGAAAATTCCACACTTGTACCATACGCTGTGGAATCAAGCTGTAACCAAAAATATAAAATAAAAAAAAATTTACAGAAGAGATTAACACTTTTGACTAGTTTGTGCTGGGTCATAGTCAGCAGTTGTTATGCCTAATGCTGTTGAGGTCTTGAAGCTGAATATTTCTCCCTTGATAGTGGTTATTTTTAGGGTGCATTTCGCTCTGTTTGCATTCGTCATATGTATCTGCCTGTTTCTGACCGAGCAGTCACACTGAGACCTGATCGTAATACACATTTTCTCAGCATCTATGCAGTAATCCATTTGGCTATCGTTTCGGAACTAAATATCAACGTGCTTAAGCAAGAACGAGTTAGAAGCTCCATTTCTTTCGTAGTAAGACTGAAAATTAACGCCGTCATTTTCCACACCACTTAGACAAATAAATCAATATGTTACGGAGGATGAAGTTTACCTGTAATGTGTCATAACACAGGTAGCTCTCTGTCTCAAGATAACTGACAATTTTGAGTCAAATAACATCACCTACTGTATATTCCTTGTCAAAATCGAAAACCTGTTTCTCAGATCCTGAAATAATGTCATGTTGTTGACAGGACTATAGATGATTCACCGCTTCACTATCAATCAGCTTCAATAGAACCAGAGTTAAATGTGAATGCATCATGGACCAAAACATTGCTCAACTCACATGCACCTGATCATCTGATCTACAACAAGAATACTCATCATTTTTAACCACATGAAACCTTAAACTTTATCAAATTCCAGTGGTATAAGTGCCATCAGTTAGTGGCAAATCACTATATTATACCATTGCCAGTGATGATAATAATATCGACCATACTTGAGATTATCTTTATCTTTTTATTGAAAAGGTTCATTAGTACTGAAATGACTTCACAAGACAGTGTTTCCACTGTCTGCAGAAGGGGTTACTATTCGGAATTGGATTTCTTCTGCATAGATAAAGAAGCTTAACCGTAATCCTTGCAGCTACATATTGAACACGTGATAATCTGAGGCATAAACTGCGGCTGTTAACTGCACTTTTGTCTTATGCGAAACCATTTCTGCTGTTACAGGATACTGGTTGATTCACACCTATTCATTTGCTATTTGCTACTTAACGACAAGAGAAACAGCTATCGGAAACGTTATAAAGACTGATACAACAAGGCTTCATCTCACAGAGTCAGTACACATCACTTAAACCCACTGGAACTCTCACACCAAAACTATATGACTCGCCTAAAATGCGCTGAAATGGTGCACCGCTTCAACCAGTATTAGATGAGTTGGTGAAACACAGTGTAAATGATACTTTTGAATTTGTTGGAAGGATAGAAGATTTAAATGTTGACAATAAATTAATGATATCACTTGACGCATCTTCCTTATTCGCCAATGTAACACTTATGGAAACAGTGGACTTTGTATGCAAAGAACTCAAAAGACGAAACATCGATGTTGGCATTCCTATATCTTTTATGAAATGTCTTCTCTTGAAATGTACAATGAATGTCCACTTTCTATTTAATAGGGAACTATGTAGACAAATCGATGGTGTGGCAATGGGGTCACCACTAGGATCCATTCTTGCTGATATTTTCCTTGCGAAACTAGAAAATGGGCCTTTGAAGGATGTTAATAATGAACTCGAATTCTATTGTCGGTACATGGATGATACATTTTTGGTTATGTTTCAATTTTAGACGTCCTTATGACCAATAAGTAGCAGTTAATATGGAAAACGTACATCAGAGGGTCAGTATACTCATTTTCTGGGCTTCGTGCCGTTGAAATACAAACACAATCTCATGAAGCGCTTGGTTCACAGAGTAAGAGCGATTTGCTCGGACGAATGTCTTGATGAGAAACTTAATAATATTAAACGGTTGCTAAGTGAAAATGGTTATCCTGAAAAGTTTATTGATAAGAATATGAATCTTAAACCAAAGCAGCCCAAGTTACCAACAGTTCCAAAGAAAGGCCTTATTCTTACAAACGAAGAACCTTGGGGACAACACCAGCAAGATCTTAACACAGCGCCTTAGAAATGCGGTAAAAGTAGCATTCCCTGCTGCTGCCGAATTACGCTGTGTCTCCAAAACCACTCCTCTTCTGCGTTCTGGAGTAAAAGACAAAGTGCCTAATTTCGCCTCTTCCATATGTAGCTACCACTTTAACTGCTCCTGTGGAGCCAGTTACATATGCCGTACAATTAGGTGTGTTTCTCGTCAGATTTCCGATCGTCACCCTTCTTTGTGGTTAAGTAAAAGAGAAACAAAATCTACCCACAGCGCTATTTTATCTCATCCTGTGGATATGCAACACAAGATTGACGTTAATCAGGCTTTCAGGGTCGTCTACCGCATACCTACAAATCTCAATTTTGCCGTAAGAGTTCGACCACTAAATACTGCTGAGGCTGTGGGAATCCATATTAACTACCCTACTTGATGCATTCAAAATAAGTTAGTCCAGACATTATCACTACCTTGGCCATCTAGGTTTGAATGATCCTGAATTTTGTGAAATTTTCCTAATTTTAGTTGATATTGTATCTGCTATCTTTGTTATTATTATAATTTAAGCATCTTTAATGAACTATAATTGCATTGATATTATTTAAAAACACTAATATTGTTATTGACTACTAATCTAGAATATTCTGTGTATATTAACATATATATAACTGTAGAGCCGGAAGATGAATTTATCGAAAAGAATATTCTTTGCTCGATTATTTCGTTTTAAAGGTGCCTGAATGAATATTTTTACTATACACTGTAATTCACGAAACTGTTTCTCTCAGTTTGATTTAAGCACAAAGAGTAAAGGGCATGAATATTTTAAATTTCGTGCATCTCACTTTACAAAACTGGATTGAATGAACCCCGGAGAATACAGTTAGTCATGTTGTGAATGATTAATAAACTAACCCCCAAGTTAGTCATAACTTCTTTTGTCCTAACACATTCACGCATATTCAGTGTGTCGTTATTCGTGTCATCAGTTGATTGTAATTTTCATGGCCATTTCTAAAACCACTTTTTCCTTGATAATTTCGTCCACATTGGCCTGCTAATAAACCTCTCCACGATTGTACTTCCTTTCCAGGAGATGGCACTCATTGTTCAAGCTATTCTAGGTGATAGACGATTCACATTTCGAGATGATCAACATCTACTCTGTGGATTGTTAACTGGCATGCTAATTATCTGGATGCAGTTGATCATTTCAACGGAGGTGGCGTTTATCTACGTGTTAACAAGGAGTGATAACAATAACGTGGATACATACTTGTAACGAAAAGCAGTAAATGTGTTCCTCTTAAAATAGATTTATTATAAATTTTGAAAATAAAAATATTATGAATAAAAGTATATGATAACCACACTCTCTCAGTATTACTTATTCCATCTCACATCAATTCAATGACAAGAATTAGAGAATCAGTAGAAATTCATTGTTATTTCTTGTTAAAGAGTTAAAGACAATCTGCAAGATGTCAGTCCAAGAATAACCGATAATTCCTCCAAACAATTAACATCATCTGGAAGTTCAAAGCGATGGTTGGTGTTATTGCTTGTTAACTGATTAAATTTCAAACCTGATGGGATAAGAACGAGTCAGAATTGAGGCCTATAGGCTGCTTAGTAAATAAACAGTACCCAGATGATATTACGATAATGTTGTGACATCATTAATTTAACTTGATGATGATTAATGGTGTACTTGAATGTGTTTAGCGTTAACTCAGGATAGCTGTAACTGATAAAAAGGTAATAAAAATAATGTCATGTATCTAAATAAATGTAAAGATAAAATATAGATTGACATTTCTAAGAACTACCATTCAGGTATTATTTGTAAATTCACCATTGATTTTGATAAAGTTTCATCACAATAACCGTGACAGTAACCTTGTTGCTCAAATTAGCGCTTGATTTTGTCATGCTAACTTTTTCATACGGTCCAGTGTTAAGGTATTTCAGAACTTGAATATCTTAGTGATAATAGCCCTCCCTGCTTCACTTCATCATCTAAGTTGCAGTCTCAGAGGGAGAGATATCAATTCCTTCGAGGTCACAGGTATACCTGACTGAAGAGTCCCACCAAGCGTGAAACAAGGGTCATCAAAAAGAGCTTCCTGCCTAATAACTTCACTTAAAACGGGAGTGTTTTGAATGCAATGCTGAATAATCAATCTTATAGCCTCTTCAACGAGATAATTTGAATCCACCTGTGTTTACGTAATAGCATTTAAATAGTTGAAATTCTAAAGAATATTTCTGGTCAGAACAAGCGATTTCCATTTCTCCATAGAACTTTTACACAACAGATAAACTCTTACTGAATATAATGTAACAGTTTTGCCATCTTCCGAAAAATCATCAATCTCCACACATTTAGGATAATGGGTGGGCTATGTGGAGCAGAATATAACTAGGGTAGAAAAACAACTAAGTCCATTCTCTGTGACTTTTGAATCTGAGAAAAGTTTAAGATTACTGATTTTTGAGGTAGAATGAACTGTCCTTTAAATGTTTGAGTTTTAACAAGATCTAATTTATGGAAGTATGATTAGAGAACAGATAGATTCTATCCCAACGTTTAACCAGGGAGATCAAGAAAACTTTCTACTCTGCACGTCTGTGTCTATCCTTCACTAGCCGTCCAATGCTTACCCAGCAACTCAAAGATGTCTTACCTAACCTTAGCTCTTCTTCATGCATATACCATTTCAGCTGTTCCAGTGGTTCAAGTTATATAGGGCGCACGATTAGGCAGGTTCGTCTACGGGCTCGAGAACACTTACCAGCTTGGTTCAGCGGGGGGGGGGGAATTAAATGCATAAAAAGCTCGATCCTGCCACACCTGGTCGATACTGGACATCGCATCGATGTCAACACAGCTTTCAGAGTTATATACCGAATTCCGAAGTCGTTATTACGTACAGTTCGCTTACGTCTCCTACACATAGCTGAAGCTGTTGCAATAAGATCGACTAAACCGGAACTGTGCATCCAAAAGGAACACGTCCAGACGCTGTTCCTACAGTGGCCAACCTTGGATTGAAGATTTTTCTTCTCACCAAGAGTGCTCCTTCCCCTTAACCCTCTTGGTTTTTTTTCTTTTTACTTCGTTAATTATTATAAATATTATCATTACATTTGTAAAAAATTATATTTGTAAAATCTCAGCGATATTGAAATGAGTAATTCCAAAGTTTCTTTCGGCAATCTGGTCCGAAATATCTCAGCGATATTTACAAATATAATTTTTGACAAATGTCTACTTCTCACTCAGCGCCCAAATATTATAGAACTATTTTGTCAAATCTTGACTACAATTCATTTGAGATATTATTATTACAGTTATTATCATTATTCGTCATAATGTATGCCATTCATGCAAACATTCCCTCAATACTATCGAATTTTCATTTGTACGGATTTATTATTAGTGATATTATCTGTTTTCTCAATATATGCCTCCACCTCTTTCATTTAACACATTCGTTATCTCACTATGATCCTCTCATTACAGTCTTACTATCTCCTGTTTAACTCAGACCACTTTGTACTAGCCACTCACCTGACACCTTTTATAACCTGGAACTGATTTGTCAATTTTCCTACCCCAAACTCTACAGTTCCATTATGATTAATCACCACCAATGCCTCTCGTTTTACAATATTTCTAATCGATTTCAGCCAACTAGCACGTTTGTCACACAAATATGACCCCATAACTAATCTGTTATTCTACGTTAAAAATGCATCTGCCGCATAACTGGCCTATATTGTAACAACCACAAATATTATATTTTATAATTGTAAGAACCTGAAGAGGAGAAATTATTGAAAAGAATATTCTTCGTTCAAATTGACTTTCAATATATATGTCATTCCGCACTTACTAGTAGAATGGATCACACTACACTGCACTACATTAACCCCGCCACACTATCCCACCCTCCATTAGGTTTGTAAATTTATTTCACTCTTATTATTATTATTAATTATAAATTATTTATTTATTTATTTTGATTTTCTTAACACGCTGGGATTAATTTAAATAATTTATAATGAATCAGTCTGACTCGGCGCACAAATTATTCCAGGAAATTCGTAACACCTACGGTCTGGAAACCTATAATAATATTATTATTATTACAGAAACTTCAACGAATAAATATATTAAAAATTCTAAAAACAACTGAACTGAACTGAATTGTAATCATACCTATTAAGGAGAAAACTATACAAGATTACGATGATGATGAGTGTGATATCAAAGTGACAATAATTGACTACTTATCATCCACCACCCTCTCTCTTCGTCTGCCACAGTCATTTGTCATCGCCCCTCCCTCCCTACCAGGTTGGGTTGGAGAGTGTTAACAATTATATTTTCGTTAACAATTCAGCTAGCTGATGATCAGTTTAGGTCTGATTCGACCCAACATGGATTCTGTTTTCTGTCAAATCGCTCGCTGTACACAGGCAGGAAGGCAACTCAGTCACCATCCCATTATTTATATCTGTCTATCGGTGAGTATGTGTATTCACATTCACTCTCATATCTTAGTTGGTCGGGTCAACCTCGTCCTGGACTGTATCATTCATTCACGAGTTTTCATTGGAACCACAAGCAATTGGAATTCAAGCAAATTACTACTATTACTATCATAATAATAAGTGTAGTTTTTAAAAATATGCAATTTCTAGGATGATATTGTAGCGCATGCTACAGCAGACAACATTCATAAGTAGTTAGTACACAGACATTATGTGCAAGAATATCAACAAATAGTCAGTTAGTTAGTTAGTTAAGAGAAGAAATGAGTGAGTGAATGCATGAATGAATGATACCTTGTGAAACAACATAGCAAACATAAAAGAGGGACAAAGAAGAGCGACACTTAAGGCAGGTGAACAATGTCATCTCAACATACATGGTATATGTTGGGTCAGTGGTTCGAGTGCTCATCAATGTTATCCATAGGTCCATAGACATAATCAACGTACTCTGTGTGGTTAGTTAGTTAGTTGGTATTATGACGCATTACAACACGTAATCTGGCTACGTGGCTAACTTGAAATGGTAATAGTTTCCGCTGAAGGTAGCTACCCTCCTTCCTGTAGCTGGTCTGCTGCCACCGTAGTGAACAACTTGACGTCACCTTTGAATTACATACAGTGTACAAGTGGACATTCGTGGAAAGATCGTCTTCTAGTCGCCGAAAGAGAAGTACATCCATGCATCCACATCTCCATGGAAGGTTTTACAGGTAGTTATCCTATCCTATCCGATCCGATCCTATCACGACAACACCACAACTCATCCACTCACTCACTATTCGCATTCCCAGTCACCACCACTTACAAAGTAGAACTAAACCTACTGAGGACAGTATGCTTCTGATGCTTCTAGGTGTCGTCGTGCACCACCAGCACTCGAACTACTTATCCTAGATTTAACCCTAATACTGATGTGATGCTAAGCTTATCCTTAAACCCTAATCTAAAACACCATAACGCTCGCTACCTAACAGAATAGATTTACAGAAACAGTACCTAGAGAATAAGTGTCATGCTGTGACTGTGTCTGCCTACTCCAGGTTTAGGAAGGCAGCCAGGCAGGCAGATATCATTTGGAATGAACTGTCATAGCATTGATTCCTGTATCTGATTAGTTCTTGAAGATCGATGTTTGAAAGGAAGATCTGTGCTGTCTGTGTCTTAGCTATGATACTTTCACTTCGCCTTCAGTGCAGGCGGATTTCCTGAAGCAACACTGGCACAACGTCTTAATCACCAGTCTGTACTTTTTCTCTTTCTCTCTCTCTAGGCATTTTCGCAAGAAGCTCACACTCTCCTCTACTGGGCTTTTCGCTTTTCAGTTCAGATGCAGCACTGACTGACTGACTGACTCGCATTAGAACAACCAGACTTAGTTCCACGCATATTCACATTCTCCTTTTTCATAGTGTATAAGGTCAGCCAGGCCTCAATTACCACTGGGTAGCATTAGGCCAGACGTCAAGTAGCTCTCACTGAATAGCATCGTCTTATCTTTCATTCGCCATCCGTATGGTAGGCTAAGGCATTCTTGAAGACATTCTCATGAACTGTATCCTACCCTGACACAAATCACTGAGATTGTAGAAAGAGAGAAAACTTAATTATTTGGAGAATTTTATATTTTCATATCACAGTAAAGTGTCACAACAAATCCGTTGAGTGAGGTAGGTCCACTGGCGATATCCTCCTGTAAATAAGTAAAATATGAGATTAGTTAGGTTACTCAAAATGATCGAAATTGTTTTTCAATTTACTTTTGCAACTTCATATTAACACACCTCAATGAGTGGGTTCGAACAATGTGTAAGGACTAAATTTGTATTTAACAGTTTGACCACGCCACGGCTTGTCATAATCATCATCATCATAATCAACAGCCTCTCGAAATGACGAAATTGGTGAAATTCAACAGAGGTAGTGTATTATCCATCCATCTATGTCGTGGCACCGCATCCCACCCTCTATTTGATCTGTAAATTTATTTTTAGCTTTGTAGCTGTATTTCAGATATGCAAGTGAAAAACAGGAAGTTGGAGATAGAAGAAGCCTTCAGTGAAGATAGGCCTTCATGTGAACATAGAGAAAACAGAAGTGATAAAGATTCCTGGCCACGAGTAGCAGCAATGGTCACAGCAACAACAACAGACAGTCAACATAAATTGGAGAAATCTGAAAGAAAAAACCTCTTTCACCTACCTGGAAAGCATTGTTTTAACTACTGGTATAACTGACGAGGTTATCAATGTGATGATCAGGAAGGAAAGGCAAGCTTTCATTACTCTCAAGTCTCTGTGGAGGTCAGCGACACTCAGCATGAAAAATATGACGCGGGTTATCAACACCAATGTGAAATTGAAATCATTGCTACTATACGGATCAGAGACTTGCCGCCGTGCCGTGTCACAAAGGACACTTCGAACAAATTACAGACCTTCATTAAAGGCTGTCCTCGTTCAATACTCATGGTCAGATGGTTGGCCAGAAAAGATCAACAATAGGGAGGGATCTCTGGCAATGAGCGAACCAACCCAGCCGGAACCACTGTAAAACAATTAAGCGGGAAGAATCAAAGTTGGACTGACCATTATCTGATAAAACAAACCATCGAGTGACATCACACGCCAAGCCATTGCTGGGGTGGAACCCCTGTGTTAAGCGGTGAGTTGGTCGTCAGTGCAACGGTGACATCAAGGAGAAGGTGATGCGGAGAGGAGATAAAAGCATGTGGGCAGACCTGGAGCCAGATGAGAACGTTGACAGAGAACCGAACGCGATGGATACGTGCAGCTGAAGCCCTATGTTCCTCTACGAACTAAAGGAAATAATAGTAATAATATTGGTAGTAATTAATGTGTTA